GGGGGGGCTCCCACGACATGATGTGCACACCTGTGATCGCTGGGACGGTTTCTGGACTCCGAGATTCAACTGCGGACAAAGTGATGACCACAGACTTTGACCACATCGGGCCGGGTTTCTGGTGGAGAGGAGCAAACCACTGTACCTACCCCCCACCCTGCAACATTTTCTTTCATCATGAACAGCAGTAAAACAGACTTCAAGATCCAGGTGGCTGTTTATCTGTCCAGCTGCGAAGAGGCTGTGTGAAGGTTGAAACAAAGCTTCAAAGTCTGAGTCTCAGAGCCTGCAGCTGGTTGCTACTTTTCATCACCTATTCTTCATGTGACAGCCTGAACGTTTAATAAGTTTGTTATTTGCTGTTTCTGACAAGCTGTTCCATCAGTCAGCTTGAGTGACCATCACCAGACTGTTGGGAAGGAGAGAGACAGTGGGGTGGAGCGGAGCTCTCTGCGGGGGGGCTCCCACGACATGATGTGCACACCTGTGATCGCTGGGACGGTTTCTGGACTCCGAGATTCAACTGCGGACAAAGTGATGACCACAGACTTTGACCACATCGGGCCGGGTTTCTGGTGGAGAGGAGTGGAAGGCAGATTGAGTCAGACGGCCAGCGCCCTCATGGAGAAAAGATGAGTAAACACACACACACACACAAAAGCTTTTATATGTTCTGTGAATGAAGCTTTTCCTTTCTTTTGTCAAGCAAAACCATAGCTGCTCTGAAATTATGAACTTTGACAAAATATAATGTTGACCAAAACTACCTGGCATTATTTTTGGTCCTATAACCCTTTTGTTTCTGTGCTTTGTTTTCTATGTGGGGTTTGGCCTCTGCCCTCCGGCTTGTCTGGGGGCCCTCCCAACCTGGCTCACTCACCAACTGTGCCAGCGGTGGAGTGACTAGGGGACCTGGTTCGGTGCGGGGGTGCAGTACAGCTGGCTGCCGGATGGCTGCTTCGTGCCGGGTTTCAAAGGGGAGGGGGGGTGTGCAGACGGGCCGGGGGACAGACTGTCCAGTTTTTTTGGTACCCTCCCTTTATCAAGATGAGTACAACACTGCATACTCATACACTCCGGAAACTAAACATAAGGGAAGAGGGGGAAATTTTTGTTAAGGAGTGAACCACATAAGGTTTTTTTTTTAATTTTATTATAAATTTGACAAAAAACAGCCTTATGATCACTGCGACAATGCTTCTTTTGGTCATTTTCATGAGTGGATGTTTTAAGCAAATACTTCATGACATCCTTTAATGACCTAGGTTTTCATGGCATTCTGTTCATCTACAGATAGTGGTTTACGTCACAACAAGACCTTGCTGACAACAATAATAATTCTTAGATATCATTTGTGTTTATCTTTGTATTTTCTACTGACCTTGCTGAGTTGACAGAATGATCAACTGTCCTTTTTTTATTTTAAAGCACAACGGAACAGTTTGGAAGGTTACATGTTCGCCATGACGCTTGGCCTTAGTAAGACTCTGGATGTTCGGGTCCAACTTTAAAGGGGAATAGTGTAAGTGTCAGAAGCTCTGTGGATGTCTACGAGAAAGAAGTGAGGAGCAGAAAGGGAAGTATGTTGATCTTGTATGAAGACGATGACTGAGTGAATTAGGAGCATCCAGGGTCTGGACATTCCAAGGGCTTGTTGTGGCAATATCTGTTTTGTTTACTGCAGTTCAATGAAAAATGGGGCTAGCTCTGTCTGTTTGGTTGTCTGTTTGTCTTTTTCCTTTTGTGTCTTATTTCTGATTTTAAAGGTACACCTGTTAATTTTATTTCTTTTTGAATTATGTTTCTGTTTGTTAGACGTTGTTGATAATTGTTGTTTCCAATGTGTCGTCTGCGTAGTTTTGTTTTTATTTGACCCTCCTTAGTGTTTAATAGACATCTGATTACTTATTGTTTGGGTTTGGTTATATTTTGCAAAATATTTGTCAGTGATTTTGGCCATCAGGGACGTTGCTGAGATGTTTTTTTTTGTTTAGCTGGTCCCCTGCATCTTTTGAAAATGCCCAGTCACTTATCAATAAAAAAACCAGAAGGCCTCAGAGGTAAATGGGATAAAACCATGGTTAAACGTGTTGATAACGGGTACTGTTTGCATATTCTTTAATCTAAAACTAAATACGATGACCGTGAGTCTGCAAAAACATTAGCGTGTATTTGCAGTTTCACGTAACGGATCTTTTTAGTTTACACATGTGGGGTATTTCAGATCTGACCCTCTTTGCCCACATGTTGTTGCAAAACAGTCTAAAGCATTCTAGTGAGGTTGGGGGTTCTACCCTCCTTCCTGCGTTGCGCTGCACGCGTTTCGTACATCGGCTTATCTCACAACATTCCATTTTGCCACATCTTCGATGCTGTTTCAGGTTGCCTCAGCCATTTCCAGGTTTTTTATCTCCTGCCGAGATTTATCTGAGTGGCTGGTGGGGATCTGTTTCAGCACCACGACCCGGGTTCGCTCGCGCTCGCTGGTTCTCACCTGGAGGAACAGATGGGCATGGGGTAGCCAGTTAGGGGGCACATGTGAGACCGTGTGTGAGGTGATGATGTCATCAGTTCTCCCAAACAGGATTTTAAGTTACTTCCATAATTACATAATGGAACAACCTGCGAACGGCAGGTTCCTGGAAGCCAGTCGACTGTATTACATTGCTAAATGAGGATTTTTGCTAATAGAAGCAGAGATAAGTGCAATTTGTATACAGAATATGACATCTGGTTTCCTCCTGGCTTTGTTCAGAGAACAGAGGCTTTGTTATTTATAAATGAGGACAAGATGGAGAACTGATGTGTTTGAGTTTTGTTGTTTCTTAAACTAAAATTATATGATTATTTAATCATCATCAGTTTCACACACGGAAATGTCTGTCTGACAGAGTGTTTTTGTATTATTACTAATTTTTGTCTTTTCTCTCTGTGTTGTGAGTTTCTTTTTTCACAGGGACAATGCTGTTTCTCATGGGGGGGTGATGCTCCATTTCCACCTGCACCGACTGGAGCTGCGCGCCACCTCGTGCTAGCCATTTCCACCTGGCATTCCTGGGGGTTCTTTCGAGGGAGGACAAATCGTTCGAGCATCATCACATTCCACCTTGAGCAGGCGTGATTCGCGGCTGCTATCTTTCTGGGCGAGGTTTCTAAAACGCTACACCTTTGGCCCTTACTGTTCTGTTGTGTTTTCTGATCACACACACCCTGCCTTATTTGACATAATGAGAACAGAACAGTTTTACACAGTGTGTGACTGTTTTCTGCCACACTGTTTGCATTTCTTTCCGCCTCCATAAAACTTTGATTTGTCCCATCTGCTATACTGAACTAATTTGTGTATTTCTGACTGGCTAATTATTGTGAATTTTTAAATACCCCACCAGTTTAATTGCAATGCATTTATGTTCTCACAAAGCCTGGGTTGACATTTGGTTCCCCCTCCTGGGATTAAAATAAGAGAGTACATGATTTTTAAACATTTAGTCTTCTCTAGATGTTTTGGGGTTAATTTTTTTTTATTTTTATGCTTTGTTCTGTTATTTTCTTTTATGTTTTTCTAGAGTTTTGTCCTCTTGTGCAGTTCCCTGGTAAAGTTAGATGCCTGTCAGCTGAGACTCTTCCATCAACAGGCATTTTTTGATGATTTGTTTCTTTCTGTGTTTGTGGTTTCTCCGGGGTTGGGGCCCTGGGCCTCGTGCCTGGAACGCCACGAAGACGTATTTGAGGGAGTATTAGCCCGTCTGGGTTTTACCGGATGAGGTCTGGGGAGCTGGAGAAGTGCTGTCCAAACGGCATCTATGTCATTCACAGAGGACTAGTTCTAGGCTTAATTTAGGGTTTAGCTTAGGTATGACAAGAGGAGGGTGGAGATATAACCTTTAGTTTAATGTATTTAGACTTTGGGTTTAGCTTTTGTTTGTTATTTTTTGTTACACATTTTTTTTTCCTTGCACAAGCCAACTTATGCCAGTAATCCATTGCACTATTTTTCCCATATTTCTCCATTATTTTTTTCATTTCATTTTTCATCATTATTCTTTTTTCAACGTGTTTCTGCCCTTAATTCCCACCACAGCGGGGAAAACCCAATGGATTTCAAATCCATCACCTTGACCACTCAACCACAACAACATATCATCAAATGCGTTAATCAGTAGGTAAAAAGCCCTCATGTATAAAGCCGTTTTTATGCTTTGATCCTTATGCCATAAATTGGATTGCTGAATAAAAAGCATTTTAAATTGAGTGCAAAATCAAAGTGTCATTTCATGTGTGACAGGAACAGTCACTGTCTGACACTTTCCCATTCGAGCAAAAGGCTGTTACTAAAAATAACTGCAGAATCAGCTTTGGAAGACTTTCAGCGTCCAAATKTATCAAAACTTGTTTCAGAAGATAATAAAGTTTTAAGGTGCTGCGACATTTAGGATAGACCTCTGTTTCTATTATGAAACTTAAGGTACAGCCACATCAGTACGAGCAATATCAATTCGTGAGGACTAAGTATGGAGAATTAAAGCTGTTCAAGCAAAGGCCAGAAGTTGCCCTTGTTGCTGGCTCATCGGTGTGCTTTGCAGAAAAACTGACGTTGTTGGAAGGGTTCAAAGCTTCGTGGGGAGACCCCAATGGATTTCTAGTCCATCGCCTTAACCACTCGGCCACAACAACCTGCAAACCTGACTGCCAGTCAGCCTGTAATGGATTTTCCAAGTATGCCCGGAACAATTCATCGGAAGAATTTCAGAGCATGGTTGGTGCCATTTCAGCCTTACAAATTCGCATTACACCACGGACCACAACAAGCTACAATTGAATTTATAAAATGCCAATGGAAAATTGTAGAAACTTGGGAACAAGTGTCCTACGATTTGCGTTCAGAATACCTAACTTGTTAAACCAAACAAATCTTTAGCAACACATCCACTGCTATTGTCTGCCTTTGTGGCAAATTACATCTTGATGACATCTTACAGGACTGGCTAGTNTTTAGCAACACATCCACTGCTATTGTCTGCCTTTGTGGCAAATTACATCTTGATGACATCTTACAGGACTGGCTAGTGTTTTCTAGGTTCAAGTGTTTTCTGTCATTTTCGCACCTATGTGGTGAAAACCCTAATGGATTTCTTGTCCTTGCTTGACTTTGAACTGCCACCTGTATTATGCCAAATGACATTCTTTGTGCAACTGGTGCATTAGAACCCAAAACCATGTGAAAAAGCAAAAGTCTGCACCACTCAGAATTTTTCAAAAACGACAAGAGATAGGAAAACCTGTCTTTCCTTGTGGGCCAACCAATTTTATGAACAAATGTACGTCTTTATATCTCCAACAGAATAAACTATGTTTTCTTAGTGTTTTATAGTGGGACACTCAGAGCTAACTGTTTTTTTCCTTATTTTTTGCATCTAGCAGAAGCTCAGGGTATCCACTGTTTTTGGAGTACTTGAGCACAGCCCTAAAAGATGCCCTGACTGGAGATTCAACCGTCCTTCTGGTGGATTGCAGCACATTGTCTATGGACGATGTAGCTTTGAAGGTTGTTACTGAGAGGGAAAAATGTTCTGCATGTTGGATATCACAGGCCTGTTAGCTCAGTTGGTCAGAGCATGGTGCTAATGATGCCAAGATCGCGGGTTCAATCCCTATACTGACCAGCTTGCCTTGAGTCCTTGTCATTCTTCAGACCAAGCATTCAGACTCCTCAAAGGTCTGCCCTAACATTGTTTATATTCTGCTTGCTCAAATCACTTTATGGCAGACTCTAGCCTCATATGAACAGAGAATACACTTCAACCACCACAATCTGACATTCTCTCCACAAGTTAACAACAAATTTATTCCCAAAAAGCACACATCTGCAGTAAGTGCAAAGAACATTGTGGTAACCTATTACACTGTTGAAACATGACTCCACGTAAACCCATTCAGAACACATACCAAAACAAATCTTCAGCAACACATGCTTTACTATCATCTGCAGTTTGCCACAAATCACATGATGAAGCAATTTTACAAGAACAGCAAGCACAGGTTTGCTAGATTAATGGTTGTTGGAAGGATTCAAACCTACACAGGGAAACCCCAATGGATTTCAAGTCCATCACCTTGACCACTCAACCACAACAACATACCATCAAATGCGTGAATCAGTAGGTAAAAAGCCCTCATGCATAAAGCCGTTTTTATGCTTTGATCATTATGCCATAAATTGGATTGCTGAATAAAAAGCATTTTAAATTGAGTGCAAAATCAAAGAGTGTCATTTCATGTGTGACAGCAACAGTCACTGTCTGACACTTTCCCAGTCGAGCAAAAGGCTGTTACTAAAAATAACTGCAGAATCAGCTTGGGAAGACTTTCAGCGTCCAAATKTATCAAAACTTGTTTCAGAAGATAATAAAGTTTTAAGGTGCTGCGACACGTAGGATAGACCTCTGTTTCTATTATGAAACATAAGGTACAGCCACATCAGTACAAGCAATATCATTTCGTGAGGACTAAGTATGGAGAATTAAAGCTGTTCAAGCAAAGGCCAGAAATTGCACTTTTTGCTGGTTCATCGGTGTGCTTTGCAGAAAAATGACGTTGTTGGAAGGGTTCGAACCTTCACGGGGAGACCCCAATGGATTTCTAGTCCATCACCTTAACCACTCGGCCACAGCAACATGCAAACCTAACTGCCAGTCAGCCTGTAATGGATTTTCCAAGTATACCCGGAACAATTACATGGGAAGAAATTCAGAGCATGGTTGGTGCCATTTCAGCCTTACAAATTCGCATTACACCACGGACCACAACAAGCTACAACTGAATTTATAAAACCCCAATGGAAAATTGTACAAACTTGGGAACAAGTATTCTACAAGATTTGCATTCAGAATACCTATCTTGTTAAACCAAACAAAATTTTAGCAACACATCCACTGCTATTGTCTGCCTTTGTGGCAAATTACATCTTGATGACATCTTACAGGACTGGCTAGTGTTTTCTAGGTTCAAGTGNTGTCTGATTATTTTTGTCCTCCGTACCCTTAACCCTATTCAACTATCCTGTTAAAAACATCTTCATAGTCCTTACGGTTTGGGCTCCAGTATGAGTTTTTCGGCAGAAAAATAATAATAATAACTAGAACTGCAAAGCAGTTATGACCGGGGTCCAAGCCCTTTTATGCATGTCAGCC